CGGGCCGGATGAATGGACATGGCGGGTCCGATCTGGCCCTTGGGCTGTAGTTTGAGGACCCATGCCTTAGATTATCAGGTAGCACCGACAGGGGTTTTTTGGCTTGAATTCCCACTGGAGATACTGATTGGTCTATTTGAAACCAGGTAGTTCCCACACTTACCTGAGAGTGTGGGAAATACCTGGGAGTAGTCTATCTGGGAGTATGGGCTTGGAGCCCTGGTGAAAGATTTCTCAATCCCTGCCCATGAGACTTGGCTCCAGTTTCACTGATATCTCTGGGGGCATGGCCAGCCTGCTTGGTCTTAATATTGGCCGGCCAGATATGTCCTACAATCCTTCACTTTAAGTCTAGGAAGCTTATTTAGCATCTTCCAGACTCGCCTTCAGGAGTGTACTCGACCACATTGTTAAGCTTCTGCATCTCCATGAACAGTTGTCAGTTTCTACGGCTTGGCATGAGTGCTTTACATGTGCTGAATAGAGTGGGAAGGCACTGTACTCTGCAGCAGGTTATGACCAGAAGTGGCAGCACAATCAGGACTCTGTTGATGACATGTGCCAGCCAACTGATATCGTGCAACCAGGACCACAACCAGTCCCACCAAAGTCCCTTAAAGGTCTGTGGGGGCTAAGTAGGGGACACTAAGAATCTGGTGTTCAGTCTTCTCCACCAGCTTGCCATTGTCATTAATCTGGTGGCAGCATGCTCATGTCTGATGGAGGAACCACACAAGCCATCCATCCCTTGGAGCAGGTAGTCCAGTGCCACTGCCTGTTCTGGAGTACCATTTCTTGCATCTGGTCTAGTTCCTTGCCCAACAGTAGGAACCCCTTGTCAGTTCCACTGAAAATTAACTTTATCTTGTAGTATAGGCAGAGGGTGGGACAAGAGTTTTGTAGACTGCCATATTAGGGGATGGAGGATGTTCTGTGTTTACCCATGATGTGGGGTTCATTTTCTTCTATCTTTTTGATGAGCTCCTGTACCCTGCACTCACACCTGTGGAGGACTGGGCTTATGATATCCTTAGAGTCATTATGTATTGTGAAGGGTTGGTACAAGGAGGTACACAGTTGGTACAACTGTGATGGGAGTTCCTTGTAGGCTCCACATTCACATATGAAATAATGCCCCACCTTTGCTTCTGCCCCATCACTGAACCATCCCTTGTAGGTGGTAGAGTTACTAAGTGATGGGATTTGTCTTTGAAGTATGATGCTAGAAGTATGAAAGTATACGTTGAAGTATAGACTAGAGGTTACTGGACTCAATTTGGCATGGTCTTCTCCCAAGGTGCAATTTATTGTGCAGGACAAGGTTTTGGATCTGCTTGGGGCAGGTGTCATTTGCTGGTGTCATTTGCTGCCTAAGTGTTAATGGAGGTCCAAAACATTTGGAAGACAGGGACAAAGGTCTGGTTCTTATGTTGCCACCCTGCTATCTCTCTATAGTTTCAGGGCTTGCCAGGGCACCTTTCTCCTCCTTGCCTTGGGTCCCTGACAAAATGGATGGCCCACACACATTCTGCGTGGCCCACAAAATGAGTGGCATTAAATTTCAAGGACTGGTTCCTGGCAAAGCAATAGTGTCCCACAGCCTATTTCACATCCTAATAGCTCTTCCCACTAGACTTGTTCTGTCCCTGTTCTGGGAGGATTTTAGGTGAAGCCATCAGCTGGGCAGTCAGGGGCACAACCTTGTGAGGGAAGGTTGTTCATGCTTCATCTAAAGGATGCAGGCAGATCCAACACCAGTTAAATTTAAGTTTTTCCGTATCTTCTCCATTAAGTGGGTTAAAATACTGTGCCCATGTCCCAGGTGTCCTTCTTTTAGCTCCTCTCTGTCAATCCCCATGCCTGCAGAGGTGACAGTGAGAAATGCCCATAGCCTGAGCTCCTTTGCTCTCCCTTCCTCCCTTTTTAGCACAAGATGGTCCCACCCCAAGTGCAACAACAGTTAATAGAACAATAGCGGTGTTAAAGTTTACAGTCAGTGTCTCATTCATGGTCCTTCCAGAACAGGAATCTTAGGTCAACAGGACAGTCTTTTCCAGGGATTCTATGAGTTCTAAACAAGTAGACATGCAGAACAGTTGTACCATATGGTTGAGTCCAATGTCATTCCAACTCAAGTCCCATTTATTTCATTGGATCGACTCTAAGTAGGACCAACATTGGACACGACCATACTAGTTACCTCACTAGTACTTTTCTACATGAGGTATTTACTTGTATGCTCACGACTCCTCACTCATGTTGGTGCTTTACAGTATGTCCTCCTCCTCCAGGGCCTTTTATGTGCTTTGGAACCATTTTTGTGGTTTTTTTTTTTTTAAATTGAGGAATGTGTGGATTATTTAGAAATGATGCTATGAAAAACTTGCTCATTTAGACCATTTGGCTATCCTACAGCACCACCTTTTGGTTACATAATGGAACATATAGAAAGGCAGGAAGAGAGCACCCCTTCCCCTGGAGTTGGTGGGGAGAACAAATATAAAGGAATCAATCTTAATCCCAGAAAGAATCTAGAAACAGAAATCTCAGTAAAGTGGCAGCTTTAAAGCCCCATCTACTTAGTTCACATGGTCTTGTTTCATTTTCATTGAACTTGCTCAGTTCTTGGAGCATTGCTTCAGGGATGTGTCAGCTTAGGAAAGTGTGAAAATATGTGCAGAATGCCATAGTTACTGAAATACAGACTGTCTTACATTCTGTATTCTTCCAATTACATGGCCTCGTTTTGTTTTGTTTTGTGTTGTATTTTTGTTTGTTTTGCTTTGCTTTGCTTTTGCTCCTGTCAGTTCAGGGCGACCACATCCTTGAAAAGCTAAACGTGCAAATTCTTTCATGATCTGGAAGGAGCATTGGGGCAGATCATGGAGAACCCAGGAAGCAGATAAGAAGGCTCATTCAGAGGTCAAGTTGATTGCAGCCACTCAAGTTGATTGAGTGACTGGCCAGTGTTAAGAAAGGGTGGAACAGGGATGCAGAGGCAAAAAGACTGGGAGGCAAGCTAGGTTGTCTTCTTTGTGCCCTTCAGCAGCTCTGCTGGTAATGCAGTGGACTGTAAATCTTGTCTGAAGTAACCTCCCTGTGGGGAAGGGCCATAACTGAGTGGCAGAACATGGTCCTAAGTTCAATCCTCAGTGAATGTACGAAGGAAAATTACTCCTTTCTGAAGCCCTGAAGAACAGGCCCCAATCTGTGTAGACAAGGAGAATCTCAGATTCTTGGGGACCCCAGATTGCCATGGGCTCCACTTCTTACTATACCTCCTTTCCCCCAGTCACCTATTGTTTCCTGGATTTTCTGCAACATTGTGCAGGTTCTAAAGTGTTAGTGCATAACAGTAGCATCTGGCATTATTGTACTACTTGGTACATCCTTTGCCTCTGGCCCAGCAGAACGCAGGCCCTGAGAGCTTTTCCAAAACTGCATTCAGCCCTTAGGCTGAGAAAGGGTTGCCATGCATGGTGCAGGCAATAATAGATTACTAATACAGTTTTTGGCAGCTTCTATGTTTCTAAGAAGCCTTTTCCTGACTCCCTTTGCATCCAGTACTGTGAACTCTTACTAGCAACTCTCCAGGGTCTTACACAAGAGTCTTTCCAAGACTGTTTCTCTGTAGGTTAATGTAATGTGTGGAGGTGCTTGCTTTTGAAGGGACAGTGGGGCGGCAGAAGGAAAACTTCTATCTGCACAACATCTCATGCTCTGTTAACCTAACTGACATTCAGAAAAATATACCTTGGCTTATATTTTCCAAAGAGAGCTTTCAGGAAATGATCCCCCCTCCCCCCCCCCAAAAAAAACACACCATTTGGCAGACTGCAAATTTGCACCATAGTTGATGATTGTTCCTTGGTAAAAAATAATGTTATCTATTGGAAGTTGAGTGGTGCTAAGGTAAATGTATTGGAAGGCAAGAGAAAGCCTATGATAAAAAGGCCAGATCAGAAGGTACCATTTTAGTTGGGTGGAACTGATTAGTTCATTCTTCTTCCAGATGATCAATACCATGACCTCAATATTAAACAGTCAAGTGTAAGTCACAGGGTTATTATTTATTTGAGGGTTATTTAGGGGGACTGAATGATATAATCAGTTAAATATATATTCATCCCTTAATTCCCATGTTTAAACACTGGGGCTCTGAGCCAAGTTGGTTCCTTCCTTGGGCCCTCATTTCACAGCTCTTGTCAGCTGACACTGACCACTGGTGTCTAGGGCTCGTGGACTGTGGAATAGGGAGACGGATCATTAAGACATGACTTCACATTTACTGGGAAGAAGTACAGCATTCTTACCTTTGCAGATCCATCATGGTTTCTTTGGCCTGGACAGGAAAAACATTTTTCTGGCTACTGACAACTATATAAATAAATGTGGTTAGAATTTTCAGCCCTTTTGAGAAGTTCCATTAAAACTATTGTTATACTTGAAACCCAAATCACCTTAATTATTCCTCTATTATACATAGAAAAAACTATTTGAACTGAAGGCAATTTCATGTTTGTAGAAAAGAAAGAACATAAAATTATCTGAAGTAGACACTTTTTGCTGTAATTAAAATGCCCATCAAAATTTAAGCCAGAATTTTAGATAGAGACAATGCTGCCAAGTTTATCAGAAGTTACTGCTTCAGATTAATAAAACACATTTAGATCTGTATCTTGGTGATGAGTTCTTTCACAGAAGATGCCTTGTTTTCCAGGATTAACAATAGAAGCATCACACATTGCCCAAAAGATCTGTATGATCTAGTTTGAATAGGAGATGAAATACATCAAGCACATTAAATTATTGCTTAACAAAGAACAGTGACAGACTTTGCAAAAGAAATAAAACATTTCATTTTGATTCTGTTTTAAGAAATGTTGCTATCATTTCATCCAACAAGCTGTTGTTGTATAATGCCAGGGAAAATATCTTTGAAAATAGGACTTAGAGGAAGTTATATAGTTCTACTTTGTCTTGTTTTTTTTAATTGACAGGGGCAAGGAGATTGGCCATGATGTAGACATATTGATTACTGTACCAGGATCAAGACAAGAAGAAGAACTGCTACACTTAGTGATTGACCTTTGGAAAAAGCAGGTAGGAGAGATTATCCTAAGATCACCATGTTCAGCATTCCCTACTTGATTAATATGTGTAGATATTGGATACTTTATCTTCTCTAAACAACACCCCAGAAGTTATTTTTCAACCACACTTGTTGGCTTGTGCTGATTTGTGAGGGGCACTAAATAGAGAGGGGCGCTAATTGCATTCTTCTGCCTGTTTTTTGCTATTCCCTGGCCATAGACATTTAATTGGTGTTTCGTTTCCTAGGGGACCCTCCTCTTCAGGTTGATACATGGCTATTCTGGCTCTGAGGTTTATTTTTAAGCAAAATCTAATTGTGTCACTCTGTGCCCAAACACTGATTGCTATGGCTTCATGCACCGTGCCTCAGGATACTGAATGAGGAAACAAGGAAATAGCTTTTCTTCTAAAAATCAGTTACACATCTCTATCAAAAGAGCAAGGATGAAAAACAGTGAAAATATAAAACAGGGAGGTGCTATGTGGGAATCAAGCCATAGTGGTCCCTGAGGGAGATGGGATGAGCACAGGTATGAATGACGTTGCAGCAGCATGCATTTCCAGCGAATGTGCCTTGGGTCACTAATGGGTCTCTGGAGATGTTCTGAAGGCACATATTGAAAGTGAGTAGGGCAATGCCATGGTCAGCACCAGCATGGGAACCAAGCAGAAAACCCTGTGCCTGGAGTTCCAGCGCTGGAGAAGGAAGGGACATCGATGGTAACAATTACCGGATAGCCACTCATATTTTGGCACTTTGGAAGCTACCCAACAGCTGCCTCTTTGTGAAGCAAAGCTATCCATGTGCTGTCTGCATGGTTCGTCTCTCTTCTGTACCCCAGGGCCATTTTTTGCCTCTTAGTTTTTTTATTTACAAATTTGCTTTTACGCATTTCTAAATTGCACTATCATCTGCATATGATCCCAGGACAGTGTAGTTTAAAATTACAAACGTATCAACAATAATATTGGATCAATAAGGGACATGAAACAGCAAACAAGTAGCAATCTAAAATGAATTTTTACTTTTTTTTAAATTAAAAGGCCTGAATAAATAGAAGCATTTGAATTTGCCATCAAAGCATGCAGACTCAACACCAGTTGTATCTTTCTTGGGAGGATATAATAAAATTCAGATACTAAAGTTCTAGGCAAAGTGCAATTTACTTGGTGTTAGCACAGTACAATTTATACATCTTACAATTCCAGGTAAATAAATTATGGGAAATTGTTATAAATAGGATAGATAGATTCAGAACATCAAACTCATTTAGAACTTTTCAGAAAAAATCTGTGCCTCATTTACAACAAATATCATTGCTTTATTATTCAATAATTATTTGTCTTTGCTCCATCTCTATTTACTGAAATCAGCAAATGCTTATTGATTTAAGATGTTGATCCATCGCTCTTGAATTCTGCCTAGCTTATAAATGACATTCATATTTAACAGGTGACTAGCTACTTGATAAGTAATTTTTTCATAAAAGTAATGTCCCATTTGTTCCCATACTGCATGGATTAATCGTTTTAAAATGTACAGATTTATTTATTTAAATACATTTCTATTATCCCTGTCCTCCAAGGATCTCATAGTTCTCTTGACATATGCCAGTGTCAGCCAAGGCAGAACACCAAATACTGTTCCTCATTACAAGCTCATAGTATTCAAAATGATGGCAGAAAATTCCACAACTGCATTTCCCTGCTATTTAATAATAATTAGCAATTTGCTGCCCTTTCATTGGACTTTAAACCAACTTACTCAGATAGTTACCTCATTCTGCCTAATGGTAGGGCCAGCTCTGCCAGATGTTTGAAACGTGTGTTTGCTGAACATGTGGAGAGAAGCATAGAGTAATTTCTGCTTTCCCAATCTGTTTCTGTGCATAATATTTACATATTCAAGGAGTTTAAAGGAGACAGGAAGCTGCAGAGTTTAATACTTTGAACAGCTGGTTCATTGTGGAATGTGGCTTAATTGAGCCCAGTTTATAACTTACTGTTGGCTTTGTATGTTTAATCAGGGCTCCTGCATTTGCTGCAACATACAGTAATGTTATGTATAATCTCAAACTCATAGTAGTTAAATTCACCCCTCTGTTTCATGATTAATAGAAGCATCTCTCCTTTTCGCATAGGATTGATTTCTGGACTATTTGCAAATGCTGACAAGTTCTTTTATAAAAAGTGATCTGAAAAATATCTTTCTTTGTCTGCTCTGGCCAAATGCTGAGACTTTTCTCAGCATGAGGTAGACCATGATTGTACCTGCCTGCTGAGTACCTGTTCAGAATGAGCATTCTGTCACATAACAAAGGTAGCAACCCTAATTCAGAACTTGGCTGCATGCAGGGGTGAAAACCTAGACTTTTAAGAGCTAAGTACCCAAACCCCTCAGCCTGGATCTGTCAGTTTTGTTTCTCCCATTTATACTTAAAATATCAAGTTCTTTCCATCTTGTTCATTAAGAAATATCAAAATTTAGATATATTCTCATGAAAAAGCCAATGTAATCCTCATCCATCCTTATTTCTCAAAAGACTTTCTCACCTGTTCTTTCTGTCAAGAACTCCACTCCTCTTTTCTAAGGTATGCTTCTAAGGTCCTATTACTCCCTTGCAGTTGTGTGTCTGTGTGTTTCCTAAATTCAGAGAATGACAATTAATTTTGGAGCAGATTTTTTGTTACTGTATTTTTGTATTTTCTGGTCTATGGATGGAGATGTGGGTTTAAATTCCACTGCTGGAAGTCCAGCTACTTCCAAGATAAACCCAGGTCAGAATGGATGCCTCACAGCACAACCCAACCCATAACTGTCTACAACAGTGGCATAGCTGACTGGTTCAGTTTGCACATAGTGCCATCTATAGCTGGAATACCAATATAGCAGTTAGATTTCTCATCTTATGCATGTATAAACTTATCTTCTAATGAAGAAAGTGTCTATAGGTGCACCTGATCCAGGCTCTTGTTCCTTTCTGGAACTTTGTTATCTAATTAACTTGTGTCTCTGCAATTTGAGAAACATAATGTTTAATATTTTTTGTATTTTCCAGTACTGGTGAAACACAGCAAGGCCAGTCTAGTTGGGCCATTAAATTTACATCAATAAAACAGTTTTAGATCAGGAATGGGCAACTTTGGGAGATCTGGGATCATTCCCCCATGCCCCCCAACACCCTTTGGGCTATACCTCTCTTTCCCTTGTGGCACCAAAAGGAGGAGGAGGAGGAGCAGCAGCAGCAGCAAAAAAGGGGGGCATCTGGAACAGCTATAGAACCCCCAAAATGGTCAAAATTATCTTGTTTATTAAGGATCCCTCCTCAAAAAACCCTTCGCAAAAGTGAGTCTAAACACCACTGAACGTTTCTTTCCCAGTTTTTCAGGAAAGCTGTAGCAAGGGCAACATGATGCCTACTCCTGTATACCATTCTGTTTCAGTGGGGCTTCAACCACCTCCCATAACCTGTCCCCTAACCTGTACTTATGACACCCATTCCTATGCCCCAAGTGCAAGACCTTGCACTTATCCACATTGAACGCCATCTTGTTACCCCCACCCACTTCCATAGTCTGTCCACCAGGCCCTAATCCATCGGACAGTGCATTGGTATATCCCAAAACTCTTCCCCAAACCTTCATGTGCTGCTATTATATGGGCAAGGGAGAAATTTTTAGATTGTAGAACAAGATATGGCAAGTGTATCAGAAATGTGGGATCCAAGTAGGGAGGTATAAGATATTTGTTTCAGCTTGTTTTTGATTAATATTTACCCAGTTTGCACTTTCCAGACTATGGGATTAGATACAATCTGTAGTCAATCTATACATTTCTGAAGAAATATACTTTAATCAACTTGAAAGGACTGCATACATTTAAAACTGAAAAATGTGCATATGAAAAAGATTTTATGTGAAAGGAAAGAAACACAATTTGGTACAGATTGAGGTCAGAATAAGCTTCAAGATGGAATTTGGAGGACTTTGGTGAGTTTGCGTTTTGCTTATTTGTACTTCAGGTTAGTTTCTGGGACATTCTGTAGATACACAAATATTGATAAATGTGCTTTCAGCAAACCTGTTCTAAAACCTTTCTGATTTTAGAGATGCATTGATGAAAATGTGAAACTGAGATTTAAAAATACCCATGGGCAGAAAGACATACTATACCATATCAGAATGTTCTTATAGCTAGGAAAAGTTGAAGCCAGTTTTTTTCTTGGACAATGTCCTAGGATGATTTGTAATGCATAAACTTGCTTCCCTACCTGATCTCAGTGCTGCTTCAATTCTCATAACCCCTTTTCTAAACATCAGGGCTGAAGACATTGGCTGTCAAGAAAATCATACAGCAAAGAATGAGGAGAATAATTATAATCTTCCTGTCTTTTCTAAAAATAAAATAAAATAAAATAAACCTTTGATTTTTATATAAATGGAAAAAAACCCCGCCTTTTATACTTGTGACAGCAAGACTGTCTCAGTACTAACTCCTTTCCTGCTTTGTGCTTCAAAGCAGAAAATGCATCAAAGCATGTCACTAAGGTCACAGTGTTGACTTTCTTTCAGCTGCTTTTTAGGAGAAAGTGTTCTGCAATATTTAATTTGCAAACTATGAGTAATCTTACCCCTCCCAGAAGCTCAGTAGTTTGGAAGGATGACTTTTTTTTGCTTGAAAGTTTAGTATTGCTGGATCCTACTAAAAGCTGTTGAAAATGAATGGAGTAAGTCAACACAATGATCCCCTGTGATGTGGCATCACTGAGGATATGTGGATCTAGGAACAGGCATGAGAGAGAGAGAGAGAGACAGAGAGAGAGACAGAGAGAATTTCTTCACTTAAAAGGGAATCAACAAAACAGAGAAGCCACTTTGCTATCAAGATTATCTTTTATAATTATTATTTTAAATACATTTCATGGACCTTATGGAATGATTTTGCTGTTGGGTGCACTTGACAATGCTGTAGATGTAAAGATGCACACTGAAACAAATGTAGAAATATT